GGGGAGACCAAGGGACTCGGAGGCAGGGGGGCTGTTTCTGGGGGGGAATCTTGTGACAAATTGGTATACCTCACTCGAGATAGGTAATGGCGGAGGGAGATGCAGGAGTGAGTTTGCAAGGGAAATTTAGCCCAGAGGAGAAAAGTAGGCCTAAGCAAGAAAACAAGGAGAACTTTGGGAGCTGGCTTACCTTGAGTCAGTCTGGTCCACCTGCTGTTCCCCTCTCTCCTTTCCCGGTCGCCTTCACTTGGGCTCCCTCCCTCCCAATTGTCTGATTAGTTAGTTAATGTCTAGGAACTGCTGTGTTAAGTGCTAAATATCCTTGCTGTCTAACTAGTACTGATAGCAGGGTTTCCCACCTTGGCTGGTCAACTGAGAGTCCTCAGAGTTCCTGCGCTCTTTTAGAGAGACACAGCTCTTCTAAGTTGCTCCCCATTTCCCTGAGTGGGAAGACGTCTCAGAGGCGCCTCCTTTGCTTACCCATGCCCTCCAAGTGTCCCGATTTTCCAGGGACAGTCCCAGAATTGCAGAAGCCGTCCCGGTTCTGTTCTGATCCCGGAATGCCCCGGTTTTCATTTTCCCTGCCCTCCTCTTCTCGGAGAACAATTAAAAGTGGTGGAGAGATCAGAGTGCCCGCACTCCTGTCCTTTTTCAGAAACAGGAACCTTTGCCCTCTCTCTGTGTGTAGGTGCAAAAACCGAGTCCTGTTTATACTGAAAATAAAATAGCTGCACCAAATGAAGGAAACATTGAAGCTGGCATACAAAGCGCTTCCTACAATTTTCAAGGAAAATGTACACCAGGCTTCCACAACCTCAGCCCTCCAGATGTTTTAAGACTACAGTTCCCATCATCCCTGAGCACTGGTCCTGCTAGCTAGGGATCATGGGAGCTGTAGGCCAAGAATATCTGGCGGGCTGAGTTTGAGGAAGCCTGATGTACCCCATCCGCTTTAAATTATCAAATTGCAATGCTTCAGCAGCCAGCCATTTTTTAGGAAATGTTTGTTCTTTGTTGTAAATGGAGCCTTGCACTGTCTCCTCAGAAGTAAGTCTCGCTGTATTCAATGGAGCTTACTCCCAGGTAACTGCTTAAAGACTGCACAGTCTTATACTGAAATTCTAGCTATTTTAAATCAAAACTAAGCCCTACTAAGTTTAGTAGGATTTACTCTCTGTTACGTTCATGATCATTCTTACAGTTGTTATTATTATTATTATTATTATTATTATTATTATTATTATTATTATTCTTACCACCCACCTTTTCCCCTGACAGGGACTACTTAAGGCAGCTTACAGCTAGAACTTTATTTCATTTATCTGTTGAATGTGTTGTACATGATCCCTTCCCTCACACCTGTTTTCTTTACAATAATCCTGCGAGGTCGGTTAGTCTGAGAGGTTGCAATTGGCTCAAGGTGACAGGCATTCAGGTGCATATGACGCATGTTGGTGGTGAGATCAAATGCAGGAGAAACTTCCTGGTGTAGAATAGAAGGTCCCACTTTTCATCTGAGAAATGTTGGGAGGGTATTCTTACCCAGGTATAGTCTCCCTTTGGGGCATTTTGTCATTTTTTAGTTGATTGACAAATATACCATCTGAGCGTAGATGGAGGCACAACTCCACCCAGTTGCTTGCTGGAGATGTTGATCACTGGATAAAATGATTGTTGAGTAGATTAAATGGTTTTGATTGGATTTCGAAGAAATGTACAATTAATTGCTCCTGTTTTGAATGTTGTTGTGTTACTATATTCTGTAGCGCAGTGATGGCCAAACTTGGCCCTCCAGCTGTTTTTGGACTACAACTCCCATCATCCCAGGATCAATGGTCAGTGATGATGGGAGTTGTAGTCCCCAAACAGCTGGAGGGCCAAGTTTGGCCATCACTGTAGCAGGTCCTGCAAACTGCTATTATGAATAACGTTGTTTACAGTGTAGTGGGCACTGGGGGTGAGTTTATAGAACCAGGGGGACAGACACTTGAAAAAGTTGGGGAAACACTGGCTTAAGCACTCCCTCAGACAGCCAAATCCAACATCCCGCACCAGATCTTTAGAGAAGGAGGCAGCCACCAGCCCCAATTTGCAGTCCAAAATCTCTGCCTCCATCGCTTTCTCTGCAGCTCCATGTGGCTCAAACTACAGTTTGCTTTGGTAGATTGCAACATCCTAGACAGGGACGGAGAACTTGTCCCTGTTGTCACCACCACTAGTTGTCACCACCACTAGTTTTGGGGTATTTCCAGAGCTCCCAGGAAAGAGGGATTGATTGTTAAACCACTTTGTAGCTCTGTGAAGGGAACAAGGCTCTCCTAACAACCCTCAGCATCTCAGCTGCCATGATTTTTCAGGGGGGAAGCGTTTAAAGCAGTAACATGCCACTTTAAACAGATATGGCTTCTTCCTCTTTTTCCTCTCTTTTCCAGAAAAGAGATCTGCCATCTTTTTTTCTTTTCTTTTTTTGGGGGGGAAAAGAATGACAGAGGGGGAAAAGAAGAAGCCATGACTGTTTAGCATGATACGATACTGCTTTAAATGTATACCTACCAAGTGCCCCGGAAAAACGGGACATCCCGTTTTTTCTCATGAGATCTCAGCGGCCATTTTGGGTGCCGCTCTCACGCTGTGCTCTCACCCAGTACTTTTGGGGAGCTGCAATCTTGCCCTCCCAAAAGTGCTTTTGCGGGGGCACGAGCACAGTGTAGGTCGCATGACTCGCCCAGAGAGCATTCCGGAAGACGTACATCTTGCTTTTTGGTCAGAAAGAGTTGGGAGGTATGTAAATGTACGGTGCAGAGCCTGACAGAAATATTCTTTGTGATTCCAAGTGGTTCGGGTTTAGTCTGCATTTCCACTGTGGCTCCAATTCTGTTTCCATTTAAAGGAAAGCAACTTTATTACCAGGCTTTCTCCTAGCTTTTTCACCCACATTGCCAAGCCTGCTCCAAGAGGATGGCTGATGGATAGTACACATGCTGTACACAGGGAAAACAGCTGGGCAGGGGCTATCACTGACTGCTTCTTCTCCCCCAGCATCTAATATCTGAGTCAGCTGCCTCACTCTGCCTAACAGCGGGGCCTGTTTACACCAAGGCCATTCATTCCCCACCCCTCAGTTCAAAACATGAGTGAAGATTGAACCCATTTCATAGATGGAAAGGTTGAGGCTGAGAGTTCTCTCCCACCTCGGTCACCTGAGAGTGCAGGGATGGATGCGGGAACTGAACTCCTTCCACACAGAGATGCAGATTTGTGTTTCCCCCCATCTTTTCTCTCTTTCACCCAGAGCTGTGAAAAGAGCTTTTGAGCCTCTTCTCTCTCCTAAATGTCATGACAAATCCAATTCTGCAAATCTGCACCATTTGACAACTTCAATGGCTTTGCCCGTCCGCCCACTTTCGAGGCTTCTCCCTCCACCCACCTCAAAATAAAATCCCTTTTTTATTATTTATAATGAGCTGGCAGAATCAATGAAATTGGTGACAGCTGCAAAGATGTTACACTTCATTGTTTCTGTTGTCATTCACTTTGGCGGGATCTTTAGAAGAGAAGGATCAGAGAAGAGGATTGACTCCCAGGAAGCGTCAAAAGGCGGGGGTGGGGGAGAATTGTAAATCCACCTGCTGCTAAGCTCACCACACACAGCTCAGAGCCCCCACCCTGAAGTGGGGAACTACATCTTCTATCAACCTCAGCAGGGGAGAACCTTGGGGTCTTAAATTTCAGCCTGTTTCCCTGAAACTTCACTTTCCGCAGTGCGGGAACCACCAGAAGGCCCTCGGAGGTGGACCTCAGTGTCTGGGCTGAACGATGGGGGTGGAGATGCTCCTTCAGGTATACTGGGCCGAGGCCTTTAGGGCTTTAAAGGTCAGCACCAACACTTTGAATTGTGCTCAGAAACATACTGGGAGCCAATGTAGATCCTTTAGGACCGGTGCTTTATGGTCCTGGCGGCCAAGTCCCCAGTTGAGCTGCTACATTCTGCATCGGTTGTAGTTTTTGAGTGACCTTCAAAGGGAGCCCCACACAGAGAGCCTTGCAGTAGTCTGAGCAGGAGATAGCCACATCTGAAGCTTGCAGATAGTTAACAGAGCCAGTGTGAGAGCCAGTGTGGTGTAGTGGTTAAGAGCGGTAGTCTCGTAATCTGGGGAACCGGGTTCGCTTCCCCGCTCCTCCACATGCAGCTGCTGGGTGACCTTGGGCCAGTCACACTTCTCTGAAGTCTCTCAGCCCCACTCACCTCACAGAGTGTTTGTTGTGGGGGAGGAAGGGAAAGGAGAATGTTGGCCGCTTTGAGACTCCTTAAGGGGAGTGAAAGGCGGGATATCAAATCCAAACTCTTCTTCTTCTTCTTCTTCTTTGTTCTATCCAGCATGATACCTTGATTTTTTAAACACACACACACACACACACACACACACACACACACACACAGCTTTATTGCAGTCCATAGACCCAAAATACACAGTATAGTCAAACCTCATGTACAACATAATATATACCAACAGTTATTATGGTGTAAGACTGACCTTGCTAGCCTAGCTTTAGCCTGTACATACCAATTTCTGATTTCTACAGCCTCCAAGAGGAATTTTGCTACAACCAGTGTAATAGCATCAACCTTATCCTCAAGGACAGTGGTGCTCAAACTTGACCCTCCAGCTGTTTTTGGACTACAACTCCCATCATCCCTAGCTAGCAGGACCAGTGGTCAGGGATGATGGGAATTGTAGTCCCAAAACAGCTGGAGGGCCAAGTTTGGCCACCACTGCTCAAGGAGAACCTTGGCATTGAAAGAGTGAATTTCAGGTTGTTCTATTAATATTGGGTTGATCTGATGCCATCTGACCTGTTTATACAGACTGCAGTGTAATAAAATGTGTTTCATACATTCAACATCCTGAGAACGTGGGCATAGCCCATCTTGGTATGGGACACCAGCCAATCTTCCCTTATTGTTCTTTTCTTTCCCTCCTCCCTTTCTTGCTTTGTAGGTAAGGAAGATGTAAAGCGGACCTCCAACCCAAGTCCCCACGAGTGTGTTCAGCAAGCCCCATATTTTCAGCCGGGCAATGCCTGGCTCTCTTCACACGTTCCACAGAGGTCTGCTCGCTTCGTTGTATTCCAAGGCTGGGGACCCGGTGCTACATCAGAACTGACATCCAGCAACTGATGTCTTGCAGAGGCATTCTGGTCATTCGAGGTCTGGAGAATCAGGAACCTTCAGGTGAATAGAGGAACCGCCTTCCTTTCCCCTCTCCCTCCAGAGGCTGCAAGCCAGCCAGGACAGGGCCTGCGCGCACCGCCAGCTCCCCATTCAGAGAAGACCCGAGGACTACAATGGAAGAGAATGTGTTCAGTGTACAGCAGATTCAGCCCAATGTCATTTCCGTGAAACTCTTCAAGCGCAAGGTTGGGGGTCTCGGGTTCCTGGTGAAGGAGCGTGTCAGCAAGCCGCCGGTGATCATCTCTGACCTGATCCGAGGTGGGGCGGCTGAACAAAGTGGCCTTATCCAGACCGGGGACATCATCCTCGCCGTGAATGGGCGCCCCCTGGTGGACATGAACTATGACACCGCTCTGGAGGTCCTGAGGAGCATCGCCTCCGAAACCCACGTGGTCCTCATCTTGAGAGGCCCAGAGGGCTTCACCACTCACCTGGAGACGACTTTCACCGGAGACGGGACACCCAAGACCGTCCGAGTCACCAGGCCCCTGTGTGCCACCTCCCCGTCCGTGGTTGACCTCCCAGCCGGCCTTGGGATCCACACCAAAGATCAGCGGCAAGGAGGTGACCATACAATGGGGGGCTCTGTCAGCTCTCGGTGCACCCGGGAGAATGGACAGGGGGATGAGTCCCTGGTGCACGTCAACGGGGTGATCGCTGGGTCCGTCCCCAGGGACTCTCTGAAAGGGAGCGGGGACGTTTCTGACCGTTGCCTCAACGGCAGCGTCGAGAACAGCGAACTGTTGAAAGAGATTGAGCCGGTCTTGGACCTCCTGAAGAGCAACAGCAAGGAGCTCAACGGAGATGCGCAGCCCAGGATGGTCACAAGAGACGCGGAGGTCCAGGTGGATGGGTAGGTCCATTGGCTGTGCACGTTTGGTGATGGGATATGCAGAGAGCCATTGTGGTGTAATGGTTAGAGTGGTGGGCTAGGGCCTGGGAGACCAGGGTTCGAATCCCCGCTCAGCCATGAAGCTCACTGGGTGACCTTGGAGATCTCTCAGCCTAACAACCTACCTCACAGGGTTGTTGTGGTGATGAAATTGGGAGGTGGAGAACCATGTACACCACACCTTGAGCTCCTTGAAAGATAAGGTGCTATATAACTATAATAAATAAATGGGTCTGTAGGACTTGGTTCCTCAGAAAGAAGCACTGAGAGCAGAAATGATAAGGGCTATCAATCGTTTTATTCGTTTTTTAAATTCTTATTTATAATTATTTATTAATGTGTCTATATATCTCTATCTCTATCTATCTCTATCTATCTATATCTATCTATCTCTATCTCCATCTCCATCTCCATCTCCATCTCCATCTCCATCTCCATCTCCATCTCCATCTCCATCTCCATCTCCATCTCCATCTCCATCTCTATCTCTATCATCTCCATCTCCATCTCCATCTCCATCTCCATCTCCATCTCTATCTCTATCTCTATCATCTCCATCTCCATCTCCATCTCCATCTCCATCTCCATCTCCATCTCTATCTCTATCATCTCCATCTCCATCTCCATCTCCATCTCCATCTCCATCTCCATCTCTATCTCTATCATCTCCATCTCCATCTCCATCTCCATCTCTATCTCTATCATCTCCATCTCCATCTCCATCTCCATCTCCATCTCCATCTCCATCTCCATCTCCATCTCCATCTCCATCTCTATCATCTCCATCTCCATCTCCATCTCCATCTCCATCTCCATCTCCATCTCCATCTCTATCTCTATCATCTCCATCTCCATCTCCATCTCCATCTCCATCTCCATCTCCATCTCCATCTCCATCTCCATCTCTATCTCTATCTCTATATCTGGCCTTTCTTCCAAGGAGGTCAAGTTTATTTTCCCCTCTCTCCATTTTATCTTCACAACAACCCTGTGAGGTTGGCCACTTTTAGGCTAAGTGACAGTAAGTTGTCAAATTTGCTTCATGGCAGAGTTGGGATTTGAACACTGGTCTCCCTGAGTTTATTTTTTAATATATATGTATTAGAAAAGCTGTTTTGTAACTTATGGATTTAAGCTTAGTTTTATCAGAATTAATCATTTCCCTTCTTATTCGAGATTCTTATATCCTGCCCTGCATCCGGTTTGGAGCTCAGGGCAAATAGATAAATGACGATACAAAACAGCGCATTTTAAAGAAAAATTGTCACTGCCGATATCAATGCATTTTTACTAAACGGCTTTCAAGTTTTTAAATCTGAAATGTGGGGTGCTAATATGGCCAATAAATAAAGCAGAGGTGCTTCAGGGGCAGGGCCCCTCCAGACCGGGGGGCTTTTTGCTGGTGTAATGTGCAACATGTCATTGACCCAATAGTAGTGCGCTGGATTTATACTGGACTGTCCACACATCATTCTGCCTCATTGGTACATTACTCAGGTTATGTCTCATGAATGCAAGGCAGAGTATACTGGAGAGAATGCAACCAGACTGGTACAACATTCAACACCTGGTGGTTCTGCTGTGCCAGGGGCTGGACTGAGGAGGAATGGTGGGGAGAGCTGCCCCCCTCCTCCTGAACCTTCCTGAGAAGAGGAAGGCAGTCTTGATTTGAAGTGGGGGTTTGAGGAAGGTCACAGGTGAACAGAAGAGTTGGGAGGTGATGGGAGAAGAGAAGGGGGAAACAAAGACAGATCAGCCAGCTGACACGTGATCACTGGAAAGCATTCCCGATCCACCCTTCTCCCAGAACCTGGCGTGCATTGAAAGTGCAAGAGCAAAAGACTCATAGACGATTAACCCCTAACAGCCACCGTAAAAGGGAATTGGCGTTGCTAGGGAGGGCAGCCCAGTTGGAGCAACGCCATTTTTCAGGTGGCTGCACCCTCCATATCTATCAGTGAATCTTGAATAAATACAGTGGTACCTCTGGTTGCGAACAGGATCTGTTCCAGAGCCCCGTTCGCAACATGAGCAGAACACAACCCGCGTCTGCACGTCCGCAGGTTGCGATTTGCCACTTCTGCACATGCGCATGACATCATTTTGAGTGTCTGCACATGCATGAGCAGCGAAACCTGGAAGTAACCCTTTCTGGTACTTCCGGGTCACCGCGGGACGCAACCTGAAAAGACGTAACCGTAACCGAACGTAACAAGAGATATGACTATACATTGGTGAGAATGCCTTGTTTTTCTGTTACCGGCATCCAGTCGTGAGGGAGGGCGACCGGATTCCCAAATCGGACTAGCTGCATGGTTCAGGAATGGTGGGTCTGGGTGTTTCAGGAGACTACACTAATAATAGAAACAGTAGTAATGATAATGATAATGATAATGATAATGATAATGATGATAAGGATAAGGATAAAGACAATGCCCTAGGGACTCGGGTGGCGCTGTGGGTAAAACCTCAGTGCCTAGGACTTGCTGATCGCAAGGTCGGCGGTTCGAATCCCCGCGGCAGGGTGAGCTCCCATCATTCAGTCCCAGCTCCTGCCCACCCAGCAGTTCGAAAGCACCCCCGGGTGCAAGTAGATAAATAGGTACCGCTTTATAGCGGGAAGGTAAACAGCGTTTCCGTGTGCTGCGCTGCTGCCGGCTCGCCAGAGCAGCTTCGTCACGCTGGCCACGTGACCCGGAAGTGTCTCCGGACAGCGCTGGCCCCCGGCCTCTTAAGTGAGATGGGTGCACAACCCTAGAGTCGGACACGACTGGCCCATACGGGCAGGGGTACCTTTACCTTTACCTAATGCCCTGCCCATCTGGCTGGGTTGCCCCAGCCACTCTGGGCAGCTTCCAGCACATAATGAAAACATAATAAAATGTCAAACATTGCAAACTTCCCGATACACGGCTGCCTTCAGGTGTCTTCTCAAGGTTGTGTAGTTCTTTGTCTCCTTGACATCTGACAGGAGGGTGTTCCACAGGAAGGGCGCCACCACCAACATGGTGATAAAGATTGCCTGTCTTGACCCTGCTTCTCTCAATATTTGCAGAAAAGTAGCTGAAAGCGACGGGTGAAAACAGGAGGGACAAGTTTGTAGTCTGTGAGACCCCTTCTTGCGCTGTGTGCTTTTCCATAAATGCTTTTGGTTAGATTTGTTTCTGAGACACCTGCCCAGATAAGCAGCCATTGCTAAATTGATGCATTTGGTATGTTTGTGAGTTTTCCCTGCTAACATGCGGCAATTGGTTGGACACTGTATTATGGTTATGTTAAAGATCTTTTGCCTACTTATCATGGGCATAGTCAGGATTTCTGTGGGGGGGGGGCAAGGGACAGGACAACTACCTGTCACCATCCTCTGTCTGGCTCTGTCTAGCAGATTTGGAATGGCATTTCTCAACTACGGTTGTTTTAAATTGCTTTCTTTTGACCCCCAAGCGCTCGGAAAAATCTGCCAAAATCTTCAGACATTTGAAAACGAAGAAGTTAGTTAAGAAACCAGAGGCTTTTCTTCTAGGAATAGTAGGAAATGAAATAAATAGAATGGACTGTAAACTTTTCCAATATGCAGTAACAGCAGCGAGAATATTATTGGCCCAAAAATGGAAACAGGAACAACTGCCGACGCTCGAAGAATGGAGAATGAAACTGATGGAGTATGCGGAACTGGACAAACTAACAGGAAAGATCAGATATATACGAGATCAAAAGTTCATTGAAGACTGGGGGAAATTTTCAGACTATCTGAAATGTGTATGTGATAAGCAAATAACGCTAGTGGGATTTCAAGAAGTTCTGTAAATGATAGAGGACTATTGTATTGATGAAAACTAAGTGTGTGAAGGTTTATAAAATGCAATATAAAATTAGGAAATGCGTATTTAAAAATTTGAATAATGGATGATTGTCAGAGAGGTTGAAGGAAGTCTAAAAGAGAAAATATGTGATAAATTTAGATTGGATACTATAAATGTATGTTGGAAAATATAATAAAAAATTTAATATAAAAAAAAGAAAAGAAAACTAAGAAGTTAAATAATAAAAAAAGAAAATCAGGGAGTACCTTTCATGCAGTTAACAAGCATATTTTGCAAAATTACAATGAGCACACCTTTTTTCAATTTATTTTTAAAAAATCAACTAAAACAAGTTTTCTTGGATTTGCTGAAAACCTTTCATGACATCATCAGCGAGCATTTCGATTTCAAATATTCCGATTATTTCTACTTTTAATTAATTTTTTTAAATTGATTTGATTTTGGCAGGGGTCAGCTGCCCCCCTGCTCCCCTGGCTACACCCATTATACTTCTGTATTGCATGATGTTGTGATGCCATGGATTTATTATATAAATATATAAGGTGGGTAAGGAGCCCTGCAGGATCAGGCCAAAGACCCATCGAGTCCAGCATCCTGTTCTCACAGTGCCCAACCAGATCCCCAAATGGGGAAACCTGCAAGTGGGCTCTACTCTATAGCTTGAATCCCACAGGGCGGTAAACTGACCTGGGATAGCTCAGATTGTAGACCACAAGACTCTTAATCTCAGTGTTGTGGGTTTGAGCCCACATTGGGCAAAAGATTCCTGCATTGCAAGGGGTTGGACTAGATGACCCTCCCAGTTCCTTCCAACTCTACAATTCTATGAAACTTTCAAGATGCCCCTCTGGCTTCTGCATAATAGTTGCAGGATCATGCTCCTGAATAGCTACACCTTCTGATTTGCATCTTCCTTTTCTCTGCAGCACTCTATATTTTCTTTGCTGAAGCACAAAAGGGGTCTGTAGTTTGGGGATAGTGACTTCCCTCTGTTTGCTGGCTCTCTTTAAAACACACACACACACACACACACACACACGTCATTAAAGCAACCATCAGCAAATGGTGCCAATTAATTAATGCTTGCAGCCCTAGTTTCATGGAATTAAAACTAAGTCATCACTTTGACATACCTGA